CACTTAGAATTGTTAAACCTCCTGCGCTCGAATTTCAAAAATGAACCTTTCGCTTTTCTCGCAAAAGGAAGCATTCGCGACAGAATTCAAAAGACTAAATTCTGAGAAACAAGTGAAAATCACAATTTTTATTGCAACACTCTCCTCTTTTATCGGTCCTGGTAGTGATCTCCGGTCAACAGGCCGCATAAGCCGTCTTTCTGACGTAAAAGTCAGAAACAAAAATCACATCATACTTGGTTATCGTCATTCCTTAGTTAAATTTTTTGTAAATCATCTGCACCACAAACATGAGCATCAATCTATGGACGTTCTTTCTACGCTCCGTCATCCAGTTATATTGTGCATCTCAAAAATCCTTAAATCGCAACATTGAACTTAATAGCGTTATTTGTCGTAAACGTAAGGTGAAAATCGTCAGACCGTTAATGTCCGAACTGCCAGTCGAGCGCTTGGGATCTCGCCAGGCGCCGTTCAATTACTGCGGCGTAGACTACTCCGGACCCTTCTATATAACCTTTTTCGCCAGAGTTACGAGAAACGTTGGGCATTTTTGTTTACTTGTTTGACCACAAGATAATTCCACATAGAAGTTCTTCCGTCAAAGACGCTAACTCTTGCGTAATGGAAGTAGAAGGGTTAGGTGCAACCCCATCAATTAACTGTTCTGACAATGGAATGAACTTTGTCGGCGCTACGAGAGAGCTTCTTCTGTGCACCCGCCCTTCTTGTACATAAAGGTATAGAATGGAAATACCATGTTGTTTCGTATGAACGCCTTGTACGTGTTTGCATGAAAGTGTTTTACTCGAAACTCACACCTCGCAAAACATCTGAAGAAGTTCTCCAGATAACTTACTGCCTCGTTCAACTGTCTTTGAATGCACGTCCTCTTCTACCTGAGGGGAGTGACCCAAATGAACTTGAGGTACCTGCGCCCTAGCAATTCTTAGTGTGACAGCATACCGTGCGTGTTCTCTCAGAAGAAACAAACGATCATTTCGACCATTGCAAGCGCCGAGCATGACCTCAAATCTGAATATAATGCTTGGTATGTAGAGGAAAGTAGACCTCGTAGATACTACGCCCTAGCACGTTTCTTGAGCCTGAATTTTGGCAAAGATGCGATCGCCTGCTCCGCGTTACTGAAAACCGCTACAGGAGATTCGTCCTCTCGTAAAACTCGCTCCGGTACTTGTTCCTTTAGGGCCCGAGGATGTTCCCACTTGAACTGCAAGTATGAAAGCATATGTTAGTTGGAACTATAAAGGCAGTAAAACCAAAGCTAAATAGAAACAAATGGCTGAGCGGTCTAAGCTAAAGCACAAATCTAGCTCCAGCAACCCCCCCCCCCCCAGGCGTAGGTTCGAGTCCCCCCAACGACATATGGCCTTTTAGTTGTTAATTGGGGCTAATATTATGTAATAGGATACATTAGTTTTGCAATAATTATGCAATAATTACGTAACAATTACGTAATTGTGTAAAAACTACGGAAGCTCGTATAGCGAGCTCGTATAACGTAAGACCAATCAATTTTGACCTTGTCTGACCTCGAAAAAACCCTGCTGCTAACTTTCTTGGCTACTAAGGATTTTCGGCTGCTAATTTTGATGTTTGCTGTCAACCATTGCTGCTAAGTTAACGTACATAAATGTTATGCTTTCGTTGTTTGATTCAAAAGAAGTTTTTGATCTGAAACATTATTTTCGAATATTCTGCCTGTCATTTTCCGATAAACATTAAATATTCGACAAGCGTTCCGATAAACATTAAACATTCGACAAATTAAATATTCGACAAGCGTTCTGTCTACCGGACCCGCTGTGATAGAAAACACATATCCATACCATACTAGACTCAAAATGCATCACGTTGTGCTTCACATAGGTTTTGGATGAAATTTTTGACAAAAACACCCAGAGCGACCGTTTTTGGGGTATTTTAGTATCAAAAAAGTTTTTATCGAAAACGCTCTCCTTCTCCTTAAAAGATAGAACGGATCAACATAGCATAATCCACCAGATAGACAACGTTATGACCTTTCGCCAAGATTTTTACTAGATCAAATTTGCTAAGCGCTGCATGTAAAGTGTTCACTTCTGATTGACGGAAACTCCAACTGAACACTCTTATAAAGATCCTGATTATTCTTTTCTTAGGAAAAAATTTTTATAAAATCAGGCTCAAATTTCATTTTTCGTGGGTTGACTTTCGACTTCTTTCTCAGATTTTTTCCTTCCCTTCGTTAAAAGGAAGGCAAACTCCACTATCGAACACCAAAATGAAAAAATCACAAAGAACCTATGTGGACAATTTCGAAAGTGGACTTTTCCAGATTTTGCAGCGGAAAAATATCGGTTGATCCACTTTTTCGAATAGGGTTATTATTAATTACGAGGACGCGCCCCTTGTTGTTCTTTTGTTCTTAATTTTTTTAAGTTTAAAGACCTGTATCTGGAATCCAGGAACATACAAACACAAAATTTTGCGCCTATCCAGTGCACAGTTTGGCCTCGTAATTTTATTGAAAAACGGAATATCGATCGAAAATATTTTTCTAAAAATGCAAAAAGTTTTGGGGCTATTTTCTGCGTTTCTCTGAAATTTGAAATACGAGATGGATTTTTTCAAAAAAAAACTTTTTGTATTTCTTTCCGTTTACATGCGCTCATTTAGTTTTTTCAACCACCCAAGTTTTGAAATCATTTACCAATCAATTTTCCTATTTAAAAACAACGCAAAAACTTTTTCATTAGTTTTCAGGAAAACGAAGGAGACTATCATGTTTCATTCTCAATAATTAAACACCTTTTTCTTCACTAGTTTCATCTGATTAACTTTCGGTAATTTCTGGTAACTTTTGTCTACTAATTTCAGTTTCATAATTGAGAAAAAAAAGCGTTAACCATTGGATGACCAACAAACGTGTGTGTTTGTTTAAGTTTATTTATGCCTTTTTGATATGAGTTGATGCTCATAACAAATTATTCAGTATTTAGTTGACAAATTAGAATTTATCGAGAGGTCGTCTCTTTTAAGTACGCTTTCACTCTACTTACTGGCCGCGGTGTCTCTCCACTTTATACCGTGTAACAGCAGGAGACACTATGACACAAGGTTATGTTGGTCGTCACACTAAATCGGCGATCAAATGACTACTCAACATCCCTATTGGCTTAGGCTCTTTTTAGCTTTTCTCTTGTGCTTTTAGCTAGTTCAGCAAACTGTGTTCACAAAAAATAAAATATCAATCTCAATTTATAATGCCCAAAATGAGCCAACTACTATTTAACAGCTTCGATAACGAAGCCCTTGTTCCGTTGCGTTCAGCCACCACCTCGTCAACTCCAATGTAAATTGTTGCTCGACGCAAATCCGATATCACCTGTTCCAGCAGTGCAACTCGACACCTAACTCCACCCGGTACCAAACTCGGTTTCAAATCAATTAAAATAATTAACAAATGACGATGAGACACAACTTGCCTCGCTTCAAGCATAGCGACATCCTCGGGACAATCATACTTCTCAGCCTGCCCAATGGTTCTCTCACTAGCTCAAAACCAACCGTTCGCTCTCTTAGCGTATGTGTTCTATCTCTTGAAAACTCTCCAGTACCCTCAAAGTTCTTCATTTAGACTTGGCTTTAGTTAAATCACTCAATTAATCATCAGTCCTGGCATCTGCCTAAATCTTTGGTTTGCACCTGTCTTATGACTACTTCCAGGCCCCTGTCAACACTGCCACATGCCAAATTCTGTTTCTTGTATCAATTTTTTTTTCACACTTATTAGGTACCTGGTATGCAGTAGGTGTCACCAATCGTCCATATAAACATATATAATACGATCCTAATCAACTAAATCTTGATCTCCGTGAACTTCAGCCCTTGTGTTCAACTAAACTCCCAAATCATGCTATATTTACTCAGTGACGTTACCAAGGTCTTTATTTAATTGTCCGGTTAACGTTCCGACCTCCCGAGGCTAGGAGGAAACCCCTTTTTATGGATCGCAAATTCATTTCAAGCATCTAAAGTTTCCATCTATGCTCTATTCCAATCCCGAAACTCTAGCTATCAGGGGACCAAAAATTCATCTGCAGGGAGTCAAATAATTTCCCCGTCCGCTCATACTAATTAGGAGACTTAATTCTCATGCCGCCATCCAATTATTGCCAATTGTAATTGGTTCTATTTACAACACAAGATGTATCTTGTCATTACCTATCTTCTCTCCAAGTTTCCTTGGATGCAAAAATTATTTCCGGAATTGAGGGGTGGGTCAGTGTTTTTAGGGCGTCAAGCCGGAGCCGGAAGTGGAGGTCTTGGGATTCTGGGGTTCTAAATTTAGACTTCCCCTCTACTACACCTACAATATAATTATTTTTGAGCCCAGAACTGCCCTTGTACTAGTTGCGGGGACCTATATCACTTGCCTCCATGGATCTGACGGGTCCCGTTTTTGTATGCCCGGGCCATGTTATCTCTAGTACCCGGCCTATGAGTTTTATAAAGATATCTTTCTTAGTTCAAAGAGTTCAAAAAGTTTAAAAAAGACAAATTTCAATTCTAGATTTTTGATTGAAATGCATATGTACGTGAAAAAAAAAGAATACAAAATTTTCCCCAAGAAACATGCAAAATTTTTTATTGAGTTCGTATTCCTAACAAACCATTCGAAGGTTTAAAAAATTTAAGTGTTTTTTCAAAAATATTAAACTTGAGTCTTTAGCCTCTTTACTCTTCCCAATTTGGGAGTAAGAGTTCTATTGATTGAAGGAACGGGTTTCTTCGATTAAGACATCCTCCAAAAAACACATAAAGCAGGAGTGACACTAAAAAGATGAGCGTCGTAAAAACTTTGAAAAACGCTTCATGTTTTTTGTTGCTAAAAGGTTTGATGATAGAAAAGTCAGTCTTTGGTCCCTCCCATTAGCGAATTACAGTTTGAACTATTCAACATAGGATCGACGTAAAAACTTGGTTACTTCATTTAGAGAACTGGAAAAGAAATGTAACCAAAGGGGGAATGTGTCATCTGTATCAACCACTATATCAAGTGGTTCAACAACAGCTGTAGGCTCGTTATTCGTACAGACCGGCAGCAGCAGTGGTCCAACATCTACAGGGGGCTCATCATCTGTATCAAAAGGCCGCAGCAGTGGTCCTACAACTCCCGGAGGCTCCTCATCCGGATCAAAAGGCAGCAGTAGTGGCCCTACAGCTACTGGAGGCTCCTCAACCGCATCAAAAGGCAGCAGCAGTGGCCCTACATCTACTGGAGGCTCCTCATCCGCATCAAAAGGCAGCACCAGTGGCCCTACATCTACTGGAGGCTCCTCATCCGCATCAAAAGGCAGCAGCAGTGGCCCTACATCTACTGGAGGCTCCTCATCCGCATCAAAAGGCAGCAGCAGTGGCCCTACATCTACTGGAGGCTCCTCACCCGCATCAAAAGGCAGCAGCAGTGGCCCTACATCTACTGGAGGCTCCTCATCCGCATCAAAAGGCAGCAGCAGTGGCCCTACATCTACTGGAGACTCCTCACCCGCATCAAAAGGCAGCAGCAGTGGTCCTACAACTACTGGAGGCTCCTCATCCGCATCAAAAGGCAGCAGCAGTGGCCCTACATCTACTGGAGGCTCTTCATCCGCATCAAAAGGCAGCTGCAGTGGCCCTACATATACTGGAGGCTCCTCATCCGCATCAAAAGGCAGCAGCAGTGGCCCTACATCTACTGGAGGCTCCTCATCCGCATCAAAAGGCAGCAGCAGTGACCCTACATCTACTGGAGGCTCCTCATCGGCATCAAAAGGCAGCAGCAGTGGCCCTACATCTACTGGAGGCTCCTCATCCGCATCAAAAGGCAGCAGCAGTGGCCCTACATCTACTGGAGACTCCTCACCCGCATCAAAAGGTAGCAGCAGTGGTCCTACATCTACTGGAGGCTCCTCATCCGCATCAAAAGGCAGCAGCAGTGACCCTACATCTACTGGAGGCTCCTCATCGGCATCAAAAGGCAGCAGCAGTGGCCCTACATCTACTGGAGGCTCCTCATCCGCTTCAAAAGGCAGCAGCAGTGGCCCTACATCTATTGTGGGCTCCTCACCCGCATCAAAAGGCAGCAGCAGTGGCCCTACATCTACTGGAGGCTCCTCACCCGCATCAAAAGGCAACAGCGGTGGCCCTACATCTACTGGAGGCTCCTCATCCGCATCAAAAGGCAGCAGCAGTGGCCCTACATCTACTGGAGGCTCCTCACCCGCATCAAAAGGCAGCAGCAGTGGTCCTACAACTACTGGAGGCTCCTCATCCGCATCAAAAGGCAGCAGCAGTGGCCCTACATCTACTGGAGGCTCCTCATCCGCATCAAAAGGCAGCTGCAGTGGCCCTACATATACTGGAGGCTCCTCACCCGCATCAAAAGGCAGCAGCAGTGGCCCTACATCTACTGGAGGCTCCTCATCTGCATCAAAAGGCAGCAGCAGTGGCCCTGCATCTACTGGAGGCTCCTCTTCCGCATCAAAAGGCAGCAGCAGTGGCCCTACATCTACTGGAGGCTCCTCATTTGCATCAAAAGGCAGCAGCAGTGGCCTTACATCTACTGGAGGCTCCTCGTCCGCATCAAAAGGCAGCAGCAGTGGCCCTACATCTACTGAAGGCTCCTCAACCGCATCAAAAGGCAGCAACAGTGGCCCTACATCCACTGGAGGCTCCTCATCCTCATCAAAAGGCAGCAGCAGTGGCCCTACATCTACTGGAGGCTCCTCACCCGCATCAAAAGGCAGCAGCAGTGGCCCTACATCTACTGGAGGCTCCTCATCCCCATCAAAAGGCAGCAGCAGTGGCCCTACATCTACTGGAGGCTCCTCACCCGCATCAAAAGGCAACAGCGGTGGCCCTACATCTACTGGAGGCTCCTCATCCGCATCAAAAGGCAGCAGCAGTGGCCCTACATCTACTGGAGGCTCCTCACCCGCATCAAAAGGCAGCAGCAGTGGTCCTACAACTACTGGAGGCTCCTCATCCGCATCAAAAGGCAGCAGCAGTGGCCCTACATCTACTGGAGGCTCCTCATCCGCATCAAAAGGCAGCTGCAGTGGCCCTACATATACTGGAGGCTCCTCACCCGCATCAAAAGGCAGCAGCAGTGGCCCTACATCTACTGGAGGCTCCTCATCTGCATCAAAAGGCAGCAGCAGTGGCCCTGCATCTACTGGAGGCTCCTCTTCCGCATCAAAAGGCAGCAGCAGTGGCCCTACATCTACTGGAGGCTCCTCATTTGCATCAAAAGGCAGCAGCAGTGGCCTTACATCTACTGGAGGCTCCTCGTCCGCATCAAAAGGCAGCAGCAGTGGCCCTACATCTACTGAAGGCTCCTCAACCGCATCAAAAGGCAGCAACAGTGGCCCTACATCCACTGGAGGCTCCTCATCCTCATCAAAAGGCAGCAGCAGTGGCCCTACATCTACTGGAGGCTCCTCACCCGCATCAAAAGGCAGCAGCAGTGGCCCTACATCTACTGGAGGCTCCTCATCCCCATCAAAAGGCAGCAGCAGTGGCCCTATATCTACTGGAGGCTCCTCATCCGCATCAAAAGGCAGCAGCAGTGGCCCTACATCTACTGGAGGCTCCTCATCCGCATCAAAAGGCAGCAGCAGTGGCCTTACATCTACTGGAGGCTCCTCGTCCGCATCAAAAGGCAGCAGCAGTGGCCCTATATCTACTGGAGGCTCCTCACCGGCATCAAAAGGCAGCAGCAGTGGCCCTACATCTACTGGAGGCTCCTCATCCGCATCAAAAGGCAGCAGCAGTGGCCCTACATCTACTGGAGGCTCCTCACCCGCATCAAAAGGCAACAGCAGTGGCCCTACATCTACTGGAGGCTCCTCATCCGCATCAAAAGGCAGCAGCAGTGGCCTTACATCTACTGGAGGCTCCTCGTCTGCATCAAAAGGCAGCAGCAGTGGCCCTACATCTACTGGAGGCTCCTCGCCCGCATCAAAAGGCAGCAGCAGTGGCCCTACATCTACTGGAGGCTCCTCATCCGCATCAAAAGGCAGCAGCAGTGGCCCTACATCTACTGGAGGCTCCACATCCGCATCAAAAGGCAGCAGCAAAGGCCCTACATCTACTGGAGGCTCCTCATCCTCATCAAAAGGCAGCAGCAGTGGCCCTACATCTACTGGAGGCTCCTCACCCGCATCAAAAGGCAGCAGCAGTGGCCCTACATCTACTGGAGGCTCCTCATCCCCATCAAAAGGCAGCAGCAGTGGCCCTACATCTACTGGAGGCTCCTCATCGGCATCAAAAGGCAGCAGCAGCGGCCCTACATCTACTGGAGGCTCCTCATCCGCATCAAAAGGCAGCAGCACTGGCCCTACATCTACTGGAGGCTCCTCGTCCGCATCAAAAGGCAGCAGCAGTGGCCCTATATCTACTGGAGGCTCCTCACCGGCATCAAAAGGCAGCAGCAGTGGCCCTACACCTACTGGAGGCTCCTCATCTGCTTCAAAAGGCAGCAGCAGTGGCCCTACATCTACTGGAGGCTCCTCGCCCGCATCAAAAGGCAGCAGCAGTGGCCCTATATCTACTGGAGGCTCCTCATCCGCATCAAAAGGCAGCAGCAGTGGCCCTACATCTATTGGAGGCTCCTCACCCGCATCAAAAGGCAGCAGCAGTGGCCCTACATCTACTGGAGGCTCCTCATCCGCATCAAAAGGCAGCAGCAGTGGCCCTACATCTACTGGAGGCTCCTCATCCGCATCAAAAGGCAGCAGCAGTGGCCTTACATCTACTGGAGGCTCCCCGTCCGCATCAAAAGGCAGCAGCAGTGGCCCTACATCTACTGGAGGCTCCTCACCCGCATCAAAAGGCAATAGCAGTGGCCATACATCTACTGGAGGCTCCTCATCCGCATCAAAAGGCAGCAGCAGTGGCCCTACATCTACTGGAGGCTCCTCATCCGCATCAAGAGGCAGCAGCAGTGGCCCTACATCTACTGGAGGCTCCTCATCCTCATCAAAAGGCAGCAGCAGTGGCCCTACATCTACTGGAGGCTCCTCACCCGCATCAAAAGGCAGCAGCAGTGGCCCTACATCTACTGGAGGCTCCTCATCCCTATCAAAAGGCAGCAGCAGTGGCCCTACATCTACTGGAGGCTCCTCATCCGCATCAAAAGGCAGCAGCAGTGGCCCTACATCTACTGGAGGCTCCTCATCCGCATCAAAAGGCAGCAGCAGTGGCCTTACATCTACTGGAGGCTCCTCGTCCGCATCAAAAGGCAGCAGCAGTGGCCCTACACCTACTGGAGGCTCCTCATCTGCTTCAAAGGGCAGCAGCAGTGGCCCTACAACTACTGGAGGCTCCTCATCCGCATCAAAAGGTAGCAGCAGTGGCCCTACATCTACTGGAGGCTCCTCGCCGGCATCAAAAGGCAGCAAAGGTGGTCCTACAACTACTGGAGGCTCCTCATCCGCATCAAAAGGCAGCAGCAGTGGCCCTACATCTACTGGAGGCTCCTCATCCGCATCAAAAGGCAGCAGCAGTGGCCCTACATCTACTGGAGGCTCCTCACCCGCATTAAAAGGCAGCAGCGGTGGTCCTACAACTACTGGAGGCTCCTCATCCGCATCAAAAGGCAGCAGCAGTGGCCCTACATCTACTGGAGGCTCCTCATCCGCATCAAAAGGCGGCAGCAGTGGCCCTACATCTACTGGAGGCTCCTCACCCGCATCAAAAGGCAGCAGCAGTGGCCCTACATCTACTGGAGGCTCCTCATCCGCATCAAAAGGCAGCAGCGGTGGCCCTACATCTACTGGAGGCTCCTCATTCGCATCAAAAGGCAGCAGCAGTGGCCCTACATCTACTGGAGGCTCCTCATCCGCATCAAAAGTCAGCAGCAGTGGCCCTACATCTACTGGAGGCTCCTCACCCGCATCAAAAGGCAGCAGCGGTGGTCCTACAACTACTGTGGGCTCCTCATCCGCATCAAAAGGCAGCAGCAGTGGCACTACATCTACTGGAGGCTCCTCATCCGCATCAAAAGGCAGCAGCAGTGGCCCTTCATCTACTGGAGGCTCCTCACCCGCATCAAAAGGCAGCAGCAGTGGCCCTACATCTACTGGAGGCTCCTCATCAGCATCAAAAGGCAGCAGCAGTGGCCCTACATCTACTGGAGGCTCCTCTTCCGCATCAAAAGGCAGCAGCAGTGGCCCTACATCTACTGGAGGCTCCTCATCCGCATCAAAAGGCAGCAGCAGTAGCCTTACATCTACTGGAGGCTCCTCGTCCGCATCAAAAGGCAGCAGCAGTGGCCCTATATCTACTGGAGGCTCCTCACCCGCATCAAAAGGCAGCAGCAGTGGCCCTACATCTACTGGAGGCTCCTCACCCGCATCAAAAGGCAGCAGCAGTGGCCCTACATCTACTGAAGGCTCCTCACCCGCATCAAAAGGCAGCAGCAGTGGCCCTACATCTACTGGAGGCTCCTCATCCGCATCAAAAGGCAGCAGCAGTGGCCCTACATCTACTGGAGGCTCCTCATCCGCATCAAAAGGCAGCAGCAGTGGCCCTACATCTACTGGAGGCTCCTCATCCGCATCAAAAGGCAGCAGCAGTGGCCCTACATCTACTGGAGGCTCCTCATCCGCATCAAAAGGCAGCAGCAGTGGCCCTACATCTACTGGAGGCTCCTCATCCGCATCAAAAGGCAGCAGCAGTGGCCCTACATCTACTGGAGGCTCCTCATCCGCATCAAAAGGCAGCAGCAGTGGCCCTACATCTACTGGAGGCTCCTCACCCGCATCAAAAGGCAGCAGCAGTGGCCCTACATCTACTGGAGGCTCCTCATCCGCATCAAAAGGCAGCAGCAGTGGCCCTACATCTACTGGAGGCTCCTCATCCGCATCAAAAGGCAGCAGCAGTGGCCTTACATCTACTGGAGGCTCCTCATCCGCATCAAAAGGCAGCAGCAGTGGCCCTACATCTACTGGAGGCTCCTCATCCGCATCAAAAGGCAACAGCAGTGGCCCTACATCTACTGGAGGCTCCTCACCCGCATCAAAAGGCAGCAGCAGTGGCCCTACATCTACTGGAGGCTCCTCATCCGCATCAAAAGGCAGCAGCAGTGGCCCTACATCTACCGGAGGCTCCTCATTTGCATCAAAAGGCAGCAGCAGTGGCCCTACATCTACTGGAGGCTCCTCATCCGCATCAAAAGGCAGCAGCAGTGGCCCTACATCTACTGGAGGCTCCTCATCCGCATCAAAAAACAGCAGCGGTGGTCCTACAACTACTGTGGGCTCCTCATCCGCATTAAAAGGCAGCAGCAGTGGCACTACATCTACTGGAGGCTCCTCATCCGCATCAAAAGGCAGCAGCAGTGGCCCTACATCTACTGGAGGCTCCTCACCCGTATCAAAAGGCAGCAGCAGTGGCCCTACATCTACTGGAGGCTCCTCATCAGCATCAAAAGGCAGCAGCAGTGGCCCTACATCTACTGGAGGCGCCTCTTCCGTGTCAAAAGGCAGCAGCAGTGGCCCTACATCTACTGGATGCTCCTCACCCGCATCAAAAGGCAGCAGCAGTGGCCCTACATCTACCAGAGGCTCCTCATCCGCATCAAAAGGCAGCAGCAGTGGCCCTACATCTACTGGAGGCTCCTCATCCGCATCAAAAGGCAGCAGCAGTGGCCCTACATCTACTGGAGGCTCCTCACCCGCATCAAAAGGCAGCAGCAGTGGCCCTACATCTACTGGAGGCTCCTCACCCGCTTCAAAAGTCAGCAGCAGTGGCCCTACATCTACTGGAGGCTCCTCATCCGCATCAAAAGGCAGCAGCAGTGGCCCTACATCTACTGGAGGCTCCTCATCCGCATCAAAAGGCAGCAGCAGTGGCCCTACATCTACTGGATGCTCCTCATCCGCAACAAAAGGCAGCAGCAGTGGCCCTACATCTACTGGAGGCTCATCATACGCATCAAAAGGCAGCAGCAGTGGCCCTACATCTACTGGAGGCTCCTCACCCGCATCAAAAGGCAGCAGCAGTGGCCCTACATCTACTGGAGGCTCCTCATCCGCATCAAAAGGCAGCAGCAGTGGCCCTACATCTACTGGAGGCTCCTCATCCGCATCAAAAGGCAGCAGCAGTGGCCTTACATCTACTGGAGGCTCCTCATCCGCATCAAAAGGCAGCAGCAGTGGCCCTACATCTACTGGAGGCTCCTCATCCGCATCAAAAGGCAGCAGCAGTGGCCCTACATCTACTGGAGGCTCCTCACCCGCATCAAAAGGCAGCAGCAGTGGCCCTACATCTACTGGAGGCTCCTCATCCGCATCAAAAGGCAGCAGCAGTGGCCCTACATCTACTGGAGGCTCCTCATTCGCATCAAAAGGCAGCAGCAGTGGCCCTACATCTACTGGAGGCTCCTCATCCGCATCAAAAGTCAGCAGCAGTGGCCCTACATCTACTGGAGGCTCCTCACTCGCATCAAAAGGCAGCAGCGGTGGTCCTACAAATACTGTGGGCTCCTCATCCGCATCAAAAGGCAGCAGCAGTGGCACTACATCTACTGGAGGCTCCTCATCCGCATCAAAAGGCAGCAGCAGTGGCCCTACATTTACTGGAGTATCCTCACCCGCATCAAAAGGCAGCAGCAGTGGCTCTACATCTACTGGAGGCTCCTCATCTGCATCAAAAGGCAGCAGCAGTGGCCCTGCATCTACTGGAGGCTCCTCTTCCGCATCAAAAGGCAGCAGCAGTGGCCCTACATCTACTGGAGGCTCCTCATCCGCATCAAAAGGCAGCAGCAGTAGCCTTACATCTTCTGGAGGCTCCTCGTCCGCATCAAAAGGCAGCAGCAGTGGCCCTACATCTACTGGAGGTTCCGCATCCGCATCAAAAGGCAGCAGCAGTGGCCCTACACCTACTGGAGGCTCCTCACCCGCATCAAAAGGCAGCAGCAGTGGCCCTACATCTACTGAAGGCTCCTCACCCGCATCAAAAGGCAGCAGCAGTGGCCCTACATCTACTGGAGGCTCCTCATCCGCATCAAAAGGCAGCAGCAGTGGCCCTACATCTACTGGAGGCTCCTCATCCGCATCAAAAGGCAGCAGCAGTGGCCCTACATCTACTGGAGGCTCCTCATCCGCATCAAAAGGCAGCAGCAGTGGCCCTACATCTACTGGAGGCTCCTCATCCGCATCAAAAGGCAGCAGCAGTGGCCCTACATCTACTGGAGGCTCCTCACCCGCATCAAAAGGCAGCAGCAGTGGCCCTACATCTACTGGAGGCTCCTCATCCGCATCAAAAGGCAGCAGCAGTGGCCCTACATCTACTGGAGGCTCCTCATCCGCATCAAAAGGCAGCAGCAGTGGCCTTACATCTACTGGAGGCTCCTCGTCCGCATCAAAAGGCAGCAGCAGTGGCCCTACATCTACTGGAGGCTCCTCACTCGCATCAAAAGGCAGCAGCAGTGGCCCTACATCTTTTGGAGGCTCCTCATCCCCATCAAAAGGCAGCAGCAGTGGCCTTACATCTACTGGAGGCTCCTCAACCGCATCAAAAGGCATCAGCAGTGGTCCTACAACTACTGGAGGCTCCTCATCCGCATCAAAAGGCAGCAGCAGTGGCCCCACATCTACTGGAGGCTCCTCATCCGCATCAAAAGGCAGCAGCAGTAGCCCTACATCTACAGGAGGCTCCTCACCCGCATCAAAAGGCAGCAGCAGTGGCCCTACATCTACTGGAGGCTCCTCATCCGCATCAAAAGGCAGCAGCAGTGGCCCTACATCTACTGGAGGCTCCTCATCTGCATCAAAAGGGAGCAGCAGTGGCCTTACATCTACTGGAGGCTCCTCGTCCGCATCAAAAGGCAGCAGCAGTGGTCCTAAATCTACTGGAGGCTCCTCATTCGCACCAAAAGGCAGCAGCAGTGATCCTAAATCTACTGGAGGTCACTCATCTACTGGAGGCTCATCATTCGCATCAACAGGCGGCAACAGTGGTCCTACATCTACTGGAGGCTCATTGTCCGCATCAACCGGTGGCAGCAACGGTCCTACACCTTCTGGAGGCTCCTTATCCGCATCAAAAAGCAGCAGCAGTGGTTCTACATCTACTGGAGGCTCATCATCCGCATCAACAGGCGGCGGCAGTGGCCCTACATCTACTGGAGGCTCATTGTCCGCATCAACCGGTAACAGCAGTGTTTCTGCATCAACTGGAGGCTCATCATCCGCATCAACTGGCGGCAGCAGTGGTCCTTCATCTACTGGTGGCTCATCATCCGCATCAACCAGTGGCAGCAGTGATCCTACATCTAATGGAGGCTCATTGTCCGCATCAACCGGTTGCAGCAGTGTATCTGCATCTACTGGAGTCTCATCATCCCTATCAACCGTCGGCAGCAATGGTCCTTCATCTACTGGAGGCGCATCATTCGCTTCAACAGGCGGCAGCAGTGGTCCTACATCTACTGGAGTCTCATTGTCCGCATCAACCGGTCGTAGCAGTAGTCCTACATCTACTGGAGGCTCCTCATCCGCATCGAAAGGCAGCCGCAGTGGTCCTACGTCTACCGGAGGCTCATCATCCGTATCAACCGGCAGCAGCACTGGGCATATATCTACTGGAAGCTCCTCATCCGCATCAAAAGGCATCAGCAGTGGTTCTACATCTACTGGAGGCTCATCATCGGGATCAACAGGCGGCGGCAGTGGTCCTACTTCTACTGGAGGCTCATTGTCCGCATCAACCGGTGGTAGCAGTGGTCCTACATCTACTGGAGGCTCATTGTCCGCATCGACCGGTGGCAGCAGTGTTTCTGCATCTACTGGAGGCCCATCGTCCGCATCAAAAGGCAGCAGCAGTGTTTCTGCATCAACTGGAGGCTCATCATTCGCATCAACAGGCGGCAGCAGTGGACCTACATCTATTGGAGGCTCATTGTCCGCCTCCACCGGTGGCAGCAGTGGTCCTACATCTACTGGAGGCTCCTCATCCGCATCAAAAGGCCGCAGCAGCGGTCCTACGTCTACTGGAGGCTCATTGTCCGTATCAACCGGTGGCAGTAGTGTTTCTGCATCTACTGGAGGCCCATCGTCCGCATCAAAAGGCAGCAGCAGTGTTTATGCATCAACTGGAAGCTCATCATTCGCATCAACAGGCGGTAGCAGTGGTCTTACATCTACTGGAGGCTCATTGTCAGCATCAGCCGCTGGCAGCAGTGTTTCTACATCTACTGGAGGCCCATCGTCCGCATCAAAAGGCAGCAACAGTGTTTCTGCATCAACTGGAGGCTCATCATTCGCATCGACAGGCGGCAGCAGTGGTCTTACTTCTATTGGAGGCTCCTTGTCTGCATCAACCGGTGGCAGCAGTGGTTCTACATCTACTGGAGGCTCATTGTCCGCATCAACTGGTGGCAGCAGTGTTTCTGCATCTACTGGAGGCTCCTCAACCGCATCAAAAGGCCGCAGCAGTGGTCCTACGTCTACTGGAGGCTCATTGTCCGCATCAACCGTTGGCAGCAGTGTTTCTGCATCTACTGTAGGCCCATCGTCCGCATCAAAAGGCAGCAGCAGTGTTTCTGCATCAATTGGAGGCTCATCATTCGCATCAACAGGCGGTAGCAGTGGTCTTACATCTACTGGAGGCTCATTGTCCGCACCAACCGCTGGCAGCAGTGTTTCTGCATCTACTGGAGGCCCATCGTCAGCATCGAAAGGCAGCAGCAACGTTTCTGCATCAACTGGAGGCTCATCATTCGCATCAACAGGCGGCGGCAGTGGTCTCACATCTATTGGAGGCTCCTTGTCCGCATCAACCAGTGGCAGCAGTGGCCCTACATCTACTGGTGGCTCATCATCCGCATCAACCGGCAGCAGCAGTGTTTCTGCATCAATTGGAGGCTCATCATTCGCATCAACAGGCGGTAGCAGTGGTCTTACATCTACTGGAGGCTCATTGACCGCATCAACCGGTGGCAGCAATGTTTCTGCATCTACTGGAGGCCCATCGTCCGCATCAAAAGATAGCAGCAGTGTTTCTGCATCAACTGGAGGCTCATCATTTGCATCAACAGGCAACAGCAGTGGTCTTACATCTACTGGAGGCTCAATGTCCGCATCAACCGGTGGCAGCAGTGGTTCTACATCTACTGGAGGCTCATCATCCGCATCAACTGGCGGCAGCATTGGTCCTACATCTACTGGAGATTCATTGTCCGCATCAACCGGTGGCAGCAGTGTTTCTGCATTTACTGGAGGCCCATCGTCCACATCAAAAGGCAGGAGCAGTGTTTCTGCATCAACTGGAGGCTCATCATTCGCATCAACAGGCGGCAGCAGTAGTCTTACATCTACTGGAGGCTCAATGTCCGCATCAACCGGTGGCAGCAGTGGTCCTACATCTACTGGATGCTCATCATCCGCATCAACAGGCGGCGGCAGTGGTCATATATCTACTGGAGGCTCATCATCCGCATCAACCGGCGGCAGTATTGGTCGTACATCTACTGGAGGCTCATTGTCCGCATCAACCGGTGGCCGCAGTGGTCCTACAACTACTGGAGGCTTCTCATCCGCATCAAAAAGCAGCAGCAGTGGTTCTATATCTACTGGAGGCTCATCATCCGGATCAACTGGCGGCAGCAGTGGTCCTACATCTACTGGAGGTTCATTGTCCGCATCAACCGGTGGCAGCAGTGTTTCTGCATTTACTGGAGGCCCATCGTCCACATCAAAAGGCAGCAGCAGTGTTTCTGCATCAACTGGAGGCTCATCATTCGCATCAACAGGAGGCAGCAGTAGTCCTACATCTACTGGAGGCTCAATGTCCGCATCAACCGGTGGCAGCAGTGGTCCTACATCTACTGGAGGCTCATCATACGCATCAACAGGCGGCGGCAGTGGTCCTACATCTACTGGAGGCTCATTGTCCGCATCAAAAGGAAGCAACAGTGGTCCTAAATCTACCGGGGGCTCTTCATCCGTATCAACTGGCAGTAGCACTGGGCCTACATCTACTGGAGGCTCCCCAACCGTATCAAAAGGCAGCAGCAGTAGTCCTACATCTACTGGAGGCTCATCATCCGCATCAAAAGGCGGCAGCAGTCGTCCTAACTCTACCAGGGGCTCATCAGCCGCATCAGCAGGCAGCAGCATTGTTTCTACTTCTACCGGTGGCAGCAGTGTTTCTGTATCTACTGGAGGTTCATCATCCACATCAACTAACGGCAGCAGTGGTCCTACATCTACTGGTGGCTCATCATCTGCATCAATCAGTGGCAGCGGTGGTCATACATCTACTGGAGGCCCATCGTCCGCATCAAAAGGCAGCAGCAGTGCTTCTGCATCTACTGGAGGCTCATCATTCGCATCAACAGGCGGCAGCAGTGGTCCTACATCTACCACGGGCTCATCAGCCGCATCAGCAGGCAGCAGCATTGTTTCTACATCTACTGAGAGCTCATCATCCGAATCAACAGGTATCAGCAGTAGTCCTTCATCTACTGTAGTCTTCTCATCTGCATCAATCAGTGGCGTTAGTGGTATTATATCTATTGGAGGCTCATCGTCCGCATCAACAGGCAGCAGCAGTATTTCTACATCTACTGGGAGATCATCATACGCATCAACCGACGCCAGCAGTGGTCCTACACCTACCGGAGGCTACTCATCTGCATCAATCAGTGGCAGCAGCGGTCCTACATCTACTAGAGGCTCATCATCCACATCAACTGGCGGCATCAGTGGTCCCACATCTGCTGGAGGCTCATCTTCCGGATCAACCGGCAGCAGCAGTGGTCCAAAATTTACTGGAGGCTCGTCTTCCGCATCAACCGGCGGCAGCAGTGGTCCAACATCTAACGGGGGCTCAACATCTGTATCAACCAGCGCCAGCAGTGTTTCTACATCTACTGGAGGCTCATCATTCGCTTCAACCGGTGGCAGCAGTGGTCCTACAACTACTGGAGGCTTCTCATCTGCATCAAAAAGCAGCAGCAGTGGTTCTAGATCTACTGGAGGCTCATCATCCGGATCAACTGGCGGCAGCAGTGGTCCTACATTTACTGGAGGCCCATCGTCCGCATCAAAAGGCAGCAGCAGTGTTTCTGCATCAACTGGAGGCTCATCATTCGCATCAACAGGCGGCAGCAGGGGTCCTACATCTACTGGAGGCTCCTCATATGCAATTATTAGTGGCAGCAGTGGTCTTACATCTACTGGAAGCTCATCGTCCGCATCAACCGGCAGCAGCAGTGGTCCAAAATTTACTGGAGGCTCGTCTTCGGCATCAACCGGCGGCAGCAGTGGTCCTACATCTACTGGAGGCTCAACATCCTCATCAACAGGCATCAGCAGTGGTCCTACATCTACTAGAGGCTCATCATCCACATCAACAGGCGGCATCAGTGGTCCAAAATTTACTGGAGGCTCGTCTTCCGCATCAACCGGCGGCAGCAGTGGTCCAACATCTAACGGGGGCTCAACATCTGTATCAACCGGCGCCAGCAGTGTTTCTACATCTACTGGAGGCTCATCATTCGCATCAACCGGTGGCAGCAGTGGTCCTACAACTACTGGAGGCTTCTCATCCGCATCAAAAAGCAGCAGCAGTGGTTCTACATCTACTGGAGGCTCATCATCCGGATCAACTGGCGGCAGCAGTGGTCCTACATTTACTGGAGGCCCATCGTCCGCATCAAAAGGCAGCAGCAGTGTTTCTGCATCAACTGGAGGCTCATCATTCGCATCAACAGGCGGCAGCAGGGGTCCTACATCTACTGGAGGCTCCTCATATGCAATTATTAGTGGCAGCAGTGGTCTTACATCTACTGGAAGCTCATCGTCCGCATCAACCGGCAGCAGCAGTGGTCCAAAATTTACTGGAGGCTCGTCTTCCGCATCAACTGGCGGCAGCAGTGGTCCTACATCTACTGGAGGCTCAACATCCACATCAACAGGCGGCATCAGTGGTCCTACATCTGCTGGAGGCTCATCTTCCGCATCAACTGGCAGCAGCAGTGGTCCAAAATTTACTGGAGGCTCGTCTTCCGCATCAACCGGCGGCAGCAGTGGTCCAACATCTAACGGGGGCTCAACATCTGTATCAACCGGCGCCAGCAGTGTTTCTACATCTACTGGAGGCTCATCATTCGCATCAACCGGTGGCAGCAGTGGTCCTACAACTACTGGAGGCTTCTCATCCGCATCAAAAAGCAGCAGCAGTGGTTCTACATCTACTGGAGGCTCATCATCCGAATCAACTGGCGGCAGCAGTGGTCCTACATTTACTGGAGGCCCATCGTCCGCATCAACAGGCATCAGCAGTGGTCCTACATCTACTAGAGGCTCATCATCCACATCAACAGGCGGCATCAGTGGTCCTACATCTGCTGGAGGCTCATCTTCCGCATCAACCGGCAGCAGCAGTGGTCCAAAATTTACTGGAGGCTCGTCTTCCGCATCAACCGGCGGCAGCAGTGGTCCAACATCTAACGGGGGCTCAACATCTGTATCAACCGGCGCCAGCAGTGTTTCTACATCTACTGGAGGCTCATCATTCGCATCAACCGGTGGCAGCAGTGGTCCTACAACTACTGGAGGCTTCTCATCCGCATCAAAAAGCAGCAGCAGTGGTTCTACATCTACTGGAGGCTCATCATCCGGATCAACTGGCGGCAGCAGTGGTCCTACATTTACTGGAGGCCCATCGTCCGCATCAAAAGGCAGCAGCAGTGTTTCTGCATCAACTGGAGGCTCATCATTCGCATCAACAGGCGGCAGCAGGGGTCCTACATCTACTGGAGGCTCCTCATATGCAATTATTAGTGGCAGCAGTGGTCTTACATCTACTGGAAGCTCATCGTCCGCATCAACCGGCAGCAGCAGTGGTCCAAAATTTACTGGAGGCTCGTCTTCCGCATCAACCGGCGGCAGCAGTGGTCCAACATCTAACAGGGGCTCAACATCTGTTTCAACCGGCGCCAGCAATGGTCATACGTCTACTGGAGGCTCCTCGACTGCATCCAACAGTGGCAGAGGTGGCCCTACATCTGATGGAGGCTCCAGAAGCAGCAGTATTTCAACAACAACTGGAGGCTCATCACTACCGTCAACAGTCGGAACCAGTAGTCCATTGTTGACTGGAGGCACATCAACTGCATCAATCGGCGGAAGCAGTGTTTCATCATCTACTGAAGCCTCATCATCTGTATCGATTCGCGGCAGCAATAGTCCAACAAGAAAAAAAACAAGTGCAGTTAGATCATCTGCGATCACTGGCTCATCAACTGCAACTGATTCTCATCATCATAAGCATAACTCAACAACTACTTTTACGAACAGTACTTCGTTTAAATCGACCACTATAAATATGAGGTCAACAGGGAGGAACTGCAGCACGACAATTGCATCTAGTACCACGTCCGCAACAAGCGGTGGCAGCAGTAGTCCTGCATCTACTGGAGGCTCGTCTTTCGTCTCAACCGGCGCCAGCAGTGGTCCAACATCTGGTGGAGGCTCCTCTTTCGCATCAACCGACGGTAGCAGTGGTCCTACATCTACTGGACGCTCATCATACCCATCAACCGGCGGCAGCAGTGGTCCTACATCTACTGGAGGCTCATCCTATGTATCAACCGGCGGCAGCATTAGTCCTACATCCATTGGAGGCTCATCAACCGCATCAACTGGCGGCGGCACTGGTCCTACATCTACTGGAGGCTCGGCGTCGGCATCAATCGACGGCAGCAGTGGTCCTACATTTACTGGAAGTTCATCGTCCGCATCAAACGTTGGCAGCAGTGGATATACATATGCTGGATTCTCATCAACCACGTCAACCGGCGGCAGCAGTGGTTCTACATCTAAAGGAGGCTCATCATTCGTATCAACCGGCGCCAGCAGTGGGCGTACATCTAGTGGAGGCTCATCATTCGCATCAACCGGCCGAAACAGTGGTCCTACATCTACTGGAGTCTCATCGTCCGAATCAACCGGCGGCAGCAGCGGTCCTACATCTAGTGGAAGTTCATCGTCCGCTTCAAACATTGGCAGCAAAGGATACACATCTGTTGGAGTCTCATCATCAGCATCAACCGGCGGAAGCAGTGGTCCTACATCTAAAGGAATCTCATCATCCGTATCAACCGGCGCCAGCAGTGGTCGTACATCATCTACTGGAGACTCGTCATCCTCATCAACCGGCAGCAGCAGTGGTCTTACATCCTCTGGATTCTCATCGTTCGCAGCAACCGGCGGGAGCAGTGGTCATATATCTACTGGAGGCTCATCATCCGCATCAAACGTCAGCAGCAATAGTCCTACATCTACTGGAGGCTCCCCATCCGCATCAACCGGCGCCAGCATTGGTCCTACATCTAGAGGAGGCTCCTCAATCGCGTCAACCAGCGGCAGCAGTCGTCCTACATCTACCGGTGGCTTATCTTCCGCATCAACCGGCGGCAGCAGTGGTCCAACTTCTACCGGGGGTTCCTCATTGGTATCAACCAGCGCCAGCAGTGGCCCTACATCTACAGGAGGCTCATCAACCTCATCAACAGGCAACAGCAGTGTTTCTACATCTACTGGAGGCTCATCATTCGCATCAACAGGCGGCAGCAGTGGTCCTACATCTACTGGAGGCTCATCGTTCGCATCAACCGGCAGCAGCAGTAGTCCAAAAGTTACTGGAGGCTCGTCTTCCGCATCAACCGGCGCCAGCAGTGGTCCAACATCTAACGCTGGCTCATCATCTGTATCAACCGACGCCAGCAAGGGCACTACATCTACTGGAGGCTCCTCGACTGCATCCAACAGTGGCAGAGGTGGTCCTACATCTGCTGGAGGCTCCAGAAGCAGCAGTGTTCCAACAACTACTGTAGGCTCATCACTACCGTCAACAGGTGGAACCAGTAGTCCATTGTTGACTGGAGGTACATCAACTGCATCAGCTGGCAGAAGCAGTGTTGCATCATCTACTGGTGTCTCATCATCTGTATCGATTGGCGGCAGCAATATTCCAACAGTAACAAAAACAAATGCAGTTAGATCAACTGCCACCACTGGCTCATCAACTGCAACTGATTCTCATCATCATAAGCATAATTCAACGACTATCTTTACGAACAGTACTGGAGGCTCCCCAATCGCATCAACCGGCGGCAGCAGTGGTCCTTCATCTAGTGGAGGCTCCTCATTTGCGTCAACTGGCGGCAGCAGTAGTCCTACATCTAGTGGAGGCTCCTCAATCGCGTCAACCGGCGGCAGCAATGGTCCTATATCTACTGGCAGCTCAACAGCCGCATCAACCGGCGGCAGCAGTGGGCCTACACCTAGTAGAGGCTCCTCGCCCGCATCAACCGGTGGCAGCAGTGGTCTTTCATCTAGTAGAGGCTCCTCATTCGCGTCAACCGGCGGCAGCGAAGGTCCTACATCTACTGGAGGCTCCTCATCCGCATCTTCCGGTGGCAGCAGTGGTCTTTCATCTACCGGTGGCTTATCTTCCGCATCAACCGGCGGCAGCAGTGGTCCAACTTCTACCGGGGGTTCCTCATTGGTATCAACCAGCGCCAGCAGTGGCCCTACATCTACAGGAGGCTCATCAACCTCATCAACAGGCAACAGCAGTGTTTCTACATCTACTGGAGGCTCATCATTCGCATCAACAGGCGGCAGCAGTGGTCCTACATCTACTGGAGGCTCATCGTTCGCATCAACCGGCAGCAGCAGTAGTCCAAAAGTTACTGGAGGCTCGTCTTCCGCATCAACCGGCGCCAGCATTGGTCCTACATCTAGAGGAGGCTCCTCAATCGCGTCAACCAGCGGCAGCAGTCGTCCTACATCTACCGGTGGCTTATCTTCCGCATCAACCGGCGGCAGCAGTGGTCCAACTTCTACCGGGGGTTCCTCATTGGTATCAACCAGCGCCAGCAGTGGCCCTACATCTACAGGAGGCTCATCAACCTCATCAACAGGCAACATCAGTGTTTCTACATCTACTGGAGGCTCATCATTCGCATCAACAGGCGGCAGCAGTGGTCCTACATCTACTGGAGGCTCATCGTTCGCATCAACCGGCAGCAGCAGTAGTCCAAAAGTTACTGGAGGCTCGTCTTCCGCATCAACCGGCGCCAGCAGTGGTCCAACATCTAACGCTGGCTCATCATCTGTATCAACCGACGCCAGCAAGGGCACTACATCTACTGGAGGCTCCTCGACTGCATCCAACAGTGGCAGAGGTGGTCCTACATCTGCTGGAGGCTCCAGAAGCAGCAGTGTTCCAACAACTACTGTAGGCTCATCACTACCGTCAACAGGTGGAACCAGTAGTCCATTGTTGACTGGAGGTACATCAACTGCATCAGCTGGCAGAAGCAGTGTTGCATCATCTACTGGTGTCTCATCATCTGTATCGATTGGCGGCAGCAATATTCCAACAGTAACAAAAACAAATGCAGTTAGATCAACTGCCACCACTGGCTCATCAACTGCAACTGATTCTCATCATCATAAGCATAATTCAACGACTATCTTTACGAACAGTACTGGAAGCTCCCCAATCGCATCAACCGGCGGTAGCAGTGGTCCTTCATCTAGTGGAGGCTCCTCATTTGCGTCAACTGGCGGCAGCAGTAGTCCTACATCTAGTGGAGGCTCCTCAATCGCGTCAACCGGCGGCAGCAATGGTCCTATATCTACTGGCAGCTCAACAGCCGCATCAACCGGCGGCAGCAGTGGGCCTACACCTAGTAGAGGCTCCTCGCCCGCATCAACCGGTGGCAGCAGTGGTCTTTCATCTAGTAGAGGCTCCTCATTCGCGTCAACCGGCGGCAGCAAAGGTCCTACATCTACTGGAGGCTCCTCATCCGCATCTTCCGGTGGCAGCAGTGGTCTTTCATCTAGTGGAGGCTCCTCAGTCGCGTCAACCGGCGGCAGCAGTGGTCCTACATCCAGTGGAGGCTCCTCATTCGCGTCAACCGGCGGCAGCAGTGGTCCTACAACTACTGGAGGCTCCTCATCCGCATCAACCGGTGGCAGCAGTGGTCTTTCATCTAGTGGTGGAGGCTCCTCAGTCGCGTCAACCGGCGGCAGCAGTGGTCCTACATCCAGTGGAGGCTCCTCATTCGCGTCAACCGGCGGCAGCAGTGGTCCTACAACTACTGGAGGCTCCTCATTCGCGTCAAGCGGCGGTAGCAAAGGTCCTACATCTACTGGAGGCTCCTCATCCGCATCAACCGGTGGCAGCAGTGGTCCTATATATAGTGGAGGTTCCTCATTCGCGTCAACCGGCGGCAGCAGTGGTCCTACATCTAGTGGAGGCTCCTCATCCGCATCAACCGGTGGCAGCAGTGGTCTTTCATCTAGTGGAGGCTCCTCAGTCGCGTCAACCGGCGGCAGCAGTGGTCCTACATCCAGTGGAGGCTCCTCATTCGCGTCAACCGGCGGCAGCAGTGGTCCTACAACTACTGGAGGCTCCTCATTCGCGTCAAGCGGCGGTAGCAAAGGTCCTACATCTACTGGAGGCTCCTCATCCGCATCAACCGGTGGCAGCAGTGGTCCTATATATAGTGGAGGTTCCTCATTCGCGTCAACCGGCGGCAGCAGTGGTCCTACATCTAGTGGAGGCTCCTCATCCGCATCAACCGGTGGCAGCAGTGGTCTTTCATCTAGTGGAGGCTCCTCAGTCGCGTCAACCGGCGGCAGCAGTGGTCCTACATCCAGTGGAGGCTCCTCATATCGCGTCAACCGGCGGCAGCAGTGGTCCTACAACTACTGGAGGCTCCTCATTCGCGTCAAGCGGCGGTAGCAAAGGTCCTACATCTACTGGAGGCTCCTCATCCGCATCAACCGGTGGCAGCAGTGGTCCTATATATAGTGGAGGTTCCTCATTCGCGTCAACCGGCGGCAGCAGTGGTCCTACATCTAGTGGAGGCTCCTCAGTTGCGTCAACCGGCGGCAGCAGCGGACCTACATCTAGTGGAGGCTCCTCATTCGCGTCAACCGGCGCCAGCAGTGGTCTTACATCTACTGGAGGCTCCTCATTCGCATCAACCGGCGGCAGCAGTGATCTTTCATCTAGTGGAGGCTCCTCAATCGCGTCAACTGGCGGCAGCAAAGGTCCTACATCTACTGGCGGCTCAACAGCCGCATCAACCGGCGGCAGCATTGGTTCTACATCTAGTGGAGGCTCCTCATTCGCGTCAACCGGTGGAAGCAGTGGTTCTACATCTACTGGAGACTCCTCAGCCGCATCAACCGGCGGCAGCATTGGTCCTCAATCTAGTGGAGGCTCCTCATTCGCGTCAACGGCCGGTAGCAGTGGTCCTACATCTAGTGGAGGCTCCTCATTCGCGTCAACCGGCGGCAGCAAAGGCCCTACATCTACTGGAGGCTCATCATCCGCATCAACCGCTGGCAGCAGTGGTCCTTCATCTATTGGAGGCTCCTCATTCGCGTCAACCGGCGGCAGCAGTGGTCCTATATCTAGTGGAGGCTCCTCAGTCGCGTCAACAGGCGGCAGCAGTGGTCCTACAACTAGTGGAGGCTCCTCATTCGCGTCAACCGGCGGCAGCAGTGGTCCTACATCTAGTGGAGGCTCTTCATTTGCGTCAACCGGCGGCAGCAGTGGTCCTACATCTAGTGGAGGCTCCTCAGTCGCGTCAACCGGCGGCAGCAGTGGTCCTACATCCAGTGTAGGCTCCTCATTCGCGTCAACCGGCGGCAGCAGTGGTCCTTCATCTAGTGGAGGCTCCTCAATCGCGTCAACTGGCGGCAGCAAAGGTCCTACATCTACTGGCGGCTCAACAGCCGCATCAACCGGCGGCAGCATTGGTTCTACATCTAGTGGAGGCTCCTCATTCGCGTCAACCGGTGGAAGCAGTGGTTCTACATCTACTGGAGACTCCTCAGCCGCATCAACCGGCGGCAGCATTGGTCCTCAATCTAGTGGAGGCTCCTCATTCGCGTCAACGGCCGGTAGCAGTGGTCCTACATCTAGTGGAGGCTCCTCATTCGCGTCAACCGGCGGCAGCAAAGGCCCTACATCTACTGGAGGCTCATCATCCGCATCAACCGCTGGCAGCAGTGGCCCTTCATCTATTGGAGGCTCCTCATTCGCGTCAACCGGCGGCAGCAGTGGTCCTATATCTAGTGGAGGCTCCTCAGTCGCGTCAACAGGCGGCAGCAGTGGTCCTACAACTAGTGGAGGCTCCTCATTCGCGTCAACCCGGCGGCAGCAGTGGTCCTACATCTAGTGGAGGCTCCTCATTTGCGTCAACCGGCGGCAGCAGTGGTCCTACATCTAGTGGAGGCTCCTCAACCTCGTCAACCGGCGGCAGCAGTGTTTCTACATCTAGTGGAGGCTCCTCATTCGCGCCAACCGGCGGCAGCAGTGGTCGTACATCTAGTGGAGTCTCCTCATTCGCATCAACCGGCGTCAGCAGTGGTCCTACATCTACTGGAGGCTCCTCATCCGATTCAACCGGCGGCAGCAATGGTCCTACATCTAGTGGAGGCTCCTCATTCGCGTCAACCGGGGGCAGCAGTGGTCCTACATCTACTGGAGGCTCCTCATCCGCTTCAACCGGCGGAAGCAGTGGTCCTACATCTAGTGGAAGCTCCTCATTTGCGTCAACCCGGCGGCAGCAGCAGTCCTACATCTAGTGGAGGCTCCTCAATCGCGTCAACCGGCGGCAGCAGTGTTCCTACATCTAGTGGAGGCTCCTCATTCGCGCCAATCGGCGGCAGCAGTGGTCGTACATCTAGTGGAGGCTCCTCATTTGCGTCAACCGGCGGCAAGCAATGGTTCTACATCTAGTGGAGGCTCCTCATTCGCGCCAACCGGCGGCAGCAGTGGTCGTACATCTAGTGGAGGCTCCTCATTTGCATCAACCGGCGTCAGCAGTGGTCCTACATCTACTGGAGGCTCCTCATCCGCTTCAACCGGCGGCAGCAATGGTCCTACATCTAGTGGAGGCTCCTCATCCTCTTCAACCGGCGGAAGCAGTGGTCCTACATCTAGTGGAGGCTCCTCATTTGCGTCAACCGGCGGCAGCAGCAGTCCTACATCTAGTGGAGGCTCCTCAATCGCGTCAACCGGCGGCAGCAGTGTTCCTACATCTAGTGGAGGCTCCTCATTCGCGCCAATCGGCGGCAGCAGTGGTCGTACATCTAGTGGAGGCTCCTCATTTGCGTCAACCGGCGTCAGCAGTGGTCCTACATCTACTAGAGGCTCCTCGTCCACTTACAGCCAGCGGCAGCAGTGGTCCTGCATCTAGTGGAGGCTCCTCATTTGCGTCAACCGGCGGCAGCAGTGGTCCTGCATCTAGTGGAGGCTCCTCAATCGCGTCAACCGGCGGCAGCAGTGGTCCTGCATCTAGTGGAGGCTCCTCATTCGCGTCAACAGGCGGCAGCAGTGGTCCTACATCTACTAGAGGCTCCTCGTCCACTTCAGCCAGCGGCAGCAGTGGTCCTGCATCTAGTGGAGGCTCCTCATTTGCGTCAACCGGCGGCAGCAGTGGTCCTGCATCTAGTGGAGGCTCCTCAATCGCGTCAACCGGCGGCAGCAGTGGTCCTGCATCTAGTGGAGGCTCCCCACTCATTTGCGTCAACCGGTCGTCAGCAGTGGTCCTACATCTACTAGAGGCTCCTCGTCCACTTCAGCCAGCGGCAGCAGTGGTCCTGCATCTAGTGGAGGCTCCTCATTTGCGTCAACCGGCGGCAGCAGTGGTCCTGCATCTAGTGGAGGCTCTCATTCGCGTCAACAGGCGGCAGCAAGTGGTCCTACATCTAGTGGAGGCTCCACATTTGCGTCAACCGCCGGCAGCAGTGGTCCTACATCTACTGTAGGCTCTCATCCGCACAAACCGCCGGCAACAGTGGTTCTACATTTAGTGGAGGCTCCTCTTCGCGTCAACCGGCGGCAGCAGTGGCCTACACCTAGTGGAGGCTCCTCATTTGCGTCAACAGGCGGCAGCAGTGGTCCTACATCTAGTGGAGGCTCCTCATTCGCGTCAACCAGCGGCAGCAGTGGCCCTACACCTAGTGGAGGCTCCTCATTCGCGTCAACCGGTGGGCAGTAGTGGCCCTACATCTAGTGGAGGCTCCTCATTCGCGTCAACCGGGGGTAGCAGTGGTCCTACAGCTACTGGAGGCTCCTCATCCGCATCATCCGGCGGCAGCAGTGGTCCTGTATCTACTGGAGGCTCCTCATTTGCGTCAACCGGCGGCAGCAGTGGGCCTCCATCTACTGTAGGCTCCTCGTCCCGCATCAAACCGGCGGCAAGCAGTGGTCCTACATCTAGTAGAGG